CCACCTTCACATTTATGATACAGCAACGCTGATTGGTGGCGCCAGCTCTTTGGCGCGCCCAATCAAATGACTCAATTCAACTGCAGTGAAATAAAGCTTATCCTAATACGATCACGCACGGGTTCGTGAGCGGTTATGCATGGCCTGGTTTAGCGAAACCGTGCGATCCGGACAATGGCCTTCGCTGAAATGCCTGCGGTATTTCTTCTTAGTATAACAAATTAGGCCTGATGGCTGTCGACACTCTATTAGAAGAGTATTTGCGCACACATATCAATTTATCTGACTACAACCATATCAAACCAATCAAAGATATCAATCTACAATATGGGTAACTAGATTATGGTTTATTAAAAAATATTGACCCCGGCCATCACGTGCACGTCCAGGCCTGCTAAAGATTCTTATCAACACCTTGTTTTGTATTTCGTATGTCCCCACGAATGCGTGCCGTGCTGCCCCCAGGGTGGTGCCACGTCAGCTGTATTGCGCTACCATAACAACCCATCGGATTACGCGGAACCCTGTCAGTTGGCGCGTGTGTAGGGGACACGCCGAAGTACACACACGTCAGCTGACTGTAGCGGAACCCTCATCAATTTATACACAGAGTACAATCAGGATTTGATGTCCATTAATAGCTGTGTGCATATTGTCGTATCGTACCTTCCGAACTCACCTGTCGATTCCATTGCGTCTACGGTCTGTGCAGCGCCGCAAAGTCAGTGTGCTACAATTCCAAAGTGTTAGTGACACAGTTGGTGATCTGATTCCACAAATATACTGGCAAAACAGCGTGTGATGTATTGTAACCTTTCACCTATTAAACCTGTCACCTATTCGCAGTGACCCAGTTTGGTGGCCCACCATTCATTGACGAGGGCGCTGTTCAACTCTTTTGTGTTGTCTGCTCTCCACGAAACTACAAATAGCATTTTAGCACAAAATTACAAAATATGCCACATTGCTCGCTGTGGGTCTCATGACGGCGGGTACAGTAAAAAGCATAAAGCTGGGATGGTATTTTACGTGATTTAAGGATATTAATTAATTCTCATATAACAGAATAGAAACTCGAAATGTCGTCCGCCAGTGCGTCCACCAGTGCGGTGGAATACAATTTCGAAATCACCGGACTGTGGATGGATGTAATATGCATTCGCGCATAGAAGAATTAAAAAGAGCATCCCAATGTCGAATCACAGCTACAATTTGATTCTACATTAAAGGGGAACTAAATAGAGCCTATTTTGGTGTTTGTATTTATCAAGTTATGTATATTGATTATAAATTTGAAAAAAATAAATAAAAAAAAATGATTATCTTCAGAGTTATGATGATTTAAATATGAGAAACCATAAACCTGCGAAGGACTTCCGTTTGCGCCATCTTGCCATAAAAAAACGCCCTCATGAGGTATAAACAGGTAAGGTAACAAAGCATGATGACGAAATAGTATCTGATTAAATATAAGCAACGTAGGGAGCCATAGCTGGCTGGACTGGTTAATTGACTTCTAGTCTAGGTTGTTTCGACTTTTACAAGCATATCAACATACAACAAGTAACCTGTAGAATGCTGTGTGGGTAATATTTTTATATTGATTTTTGTTGCATTTGCAGCAAATAGTTACCAAACAATGAGAAATCTATAGGATTGGATATACCTCTCAGCTGGCTTCACATGCATAGTTCAAGACTGCCTAACCGGTGCTTATACCAGGATTTAGTTGCAGCACTGTGGTCTGTGGTTACAGCTTCATTTTCCGAG